TCGTTTGTTGTCTTTTCCCCTGGGCATAAGTAACGGGACTGCTTGATTGAAAATTTTCAAAATACCCCTAATAAAAAAGATATAACGGAAGATTTTTATCCTCTTGAAACATAGTTTATTCTTATCTAGGCTGTCTTGGTCTAGGTTGGTGAGATACATCTCTATACCATGCTTTATAACAAGCAAAGTATTTTCTTCTTTAACGCACCCTAAACATACCAGAGAGGTTTTTTTCTTTTGACATTATAATCACTCAATATCCAAAAGGTATTATATCAAATCAAATTCGACGATGGGGTTGACCTATTTGTCACATGTGTCTTAAAACCTTTCTAGGATTCCCGAATTCGAAGCTTACGGCCGTTGCAGAAAATTGGGTGAACCTTGTGAGAAACGTGGTTGTTGTTTCTGCTGTCCAGGATTGGAGTGCAGAGTGACTAACGGTGGCCAAGGGTTTGATTCGTAAGTGTTTTTTAATAGYTTTTTTAACGGGTGCAAAGAGGGTGTGGTCCATTAGTTTTTGTGGCAACCAAAAGGGAAAGGTCAGAAAAAGTTGGACAAACTGATTTTTAAAAAACTGAGATAATATAGCAGTTTGTAAGGGTCACATTTTTTCTTACACGAATTGAGAGTACATGTCACACACAGGTATCCCAGTCAACCCTGTCCCCAAGGTCCTGTTTACAAAACATATGGGGAAAAACTACGTATGCATATGGAATTTAACTAAACTAACTAAAAAATATTTTTAATTATATTGATAAAAGTAGTTAAAATACCGACGTCCTTTGCATTCTTGGCGTTCATAGCTTGTTGTTTTTGGGGACCGTTCATTTTTTATCGGGAGGGGGGGGCTGGTGGTTTTTGGAGCTTTCTCAGAAAAAAATGTATAGCCCGCCTAGTTTGGTACAAATTTTTTGTATGGCCCACCCTCTCGTTCATATTTCATTGAGATGCCCCCCCCCCTCTACCAATTCCTCAAAAATACATATATATGTGTGTGTACAATTCAGTGAGCTCTGTAATTGTAACGTTACATTGATAATCAAAGTAACAGGGAGTACTCACATTCTAAAGTATATACATTTCAAGGCTGCCATTGTAATAGGGTTAACATCTAATTGATCGATCATTGTCTCCTCAGTACTATGATATCTCCGCATACTTTTTGTTAGATTCCATACTTCAGATAAATATATGGTGTTGCATTTCCYGTTGACGTCCCTATTGTCTACAACAGCTGTCTACTTTAAATTTTTACACTTTGTCCAACACACCGATGGGGATATGACARACTTATTGGAATTATCTTATTGTTCATGTTTACATTATCTACTTTCGTTAAAGATAGTCGAAGGGTATAAGTATAAAGTTTCTTACCGGTTGTCGTAATTATGAACGTCAGACGTCGCTTAAATCAGTTCACGAGCGGTTAGAGTATCGTAGTCCCAGTCTGTTGAGTCATTCTATTGTTCTTTATATAATGTTTTTGTTTCTTTGTCTTTGAGTTCTAAATCATTCTTGAGAATATCAGGTGGTCTGCAGCCTTTGGCCAGGAATGTAGGCAATACACAGGGATGACTTTATATCATCAAGCAATACAAAAAAAGGAAAATTGTTTAATTTGTTGAAATTGTTTTTAAAAGTAAAAATAATCCAATTCATTTCTATTCACTATTTTTCTGCCAGAACGTGAAACATTGGGGGATGCTTTGTCATCGTCATTGCCAATGACTGCAAGAATTAAGTCATCGACTTCGTCATTATCATCTTCATCATTATCATCTTGATCAACATCTTCATATTCGGATTCTTCTTCTTCTGCATCTGTGTCTTCATCCTCGGTATGTATCCTGCTACTGGCCGGTTCACTTTCTGTGCGTAGGTGATGGTTTTGAATAACCAACACTTTCTCGTCTTTCCTCTTCTTCAAGTGGTCGTTAAGATCATGGTGGAGCAAATATTTA